GGAGTTCAACCACCGGTTTATTACCATCTGTAAAAATCGCAACAGTTGAATTAATTAGATGTCAAGTTTTACTTCATGTTCACTTATACCTTTCCTCCTTTCCGCGGCGACGTTCTCCTGGTAACCACCTCTCCCTTAGCCAAAACTTTCCTGTCTCTAACTAAAGCCGGCCACACAAAATAGGCGATGGTAGTTGCACTAAACTCGGAGTCGTATGTTCTTCGATAGCGTGTTTCATTTATGACGTCGCCTTCCAGTGCTGTGGGGAGGTCTATCGGAGGATCCAGGGCTACCATGGGCCAGGCCACGCGTAACACCTCACGGACGAAGGGAGCAGTGATTTTCTCGTTACACGCCATGTAGGGAGCGATTGAAGAGTTGCGATGTAAAGATTTGATGACATCCTATATTGAGACAAGAGACACGAAACGCTCAGTCGAAGATAAGAAGAGTAACTGACCTAAATACGGTTATGAAGACATGATTGATCATCGCAGTTATAGACACAACTTAAGCAGTTGTAAAATTAAAGACTGAAAAAAAAAAANACGAAACGAACGAACGGGATTCGGACCCATGACCTCTGCGATACCGGTGTAGGCTCTACCAACTGAGTTACCAAGCTAACGGAGAGCTGGTCACTTTGTGAGTTCATATCTTTCCCCGCAGTTCAAATAAATGATCTTTCATATATTCACATGAAATAAAGTTAGTTCCACACTACGAATTGTACACTTGGTCTCAATCTGAATCTGAGTCTAAGACACTGGAAACAGACTAATAAATTAGCACACGTTTTAATTACTCACTGAAATTAGTGTCTCGACATCATACAGCTCCGTGTTCTTTTTCACATAATTCTCCACCAACTCGTTTACTCTGTCCGATTCCTCTAGACCACCCTGAGCGCTGGATTGTAATGCCTGGTTCATCCGGGACCTCNTGTTTTCGCAGGCTAGTTGGGTGGCCAAAAGGTAAAAAAACTTGCGTCGACTTGTGCGCAAATTTGATCTCGACCAAAGTGAGCGCGAGTTATCGCAAGTCAACGGAAGTGCACGCTAGGCCTGGCTAGACGGAGTCGCAAGTAGTCCAAGTAGACCATGCAAGTTTTTAACTGCGTCTACTTGCGAGTCCATTTGGCCAGGGCTTACTGCCAGGGCAGTCCTACTTTTTACTTCTATCATTTACAAACTATTGTTTATTTGTCCCACCTCGACAATTGAAAACACAAATCGTTCAGCTGTGGAACTATCAGGCATTCCCTTCAAAGAGTTCAAAATCTGTACTCGCTCATTTTTGTACAGCTCTGAAAATCTTTCCACTAGTTTGAAAGAGCGCGACTGATACGGCACCACTTCATCAACATAAGGTTTCGTCACAAGACGAACGGGTTCGGGTTCCGTTGCAGTATCCAAGAGCTTCTTGTGTAACCTGGAAATTGATAAAATTACAAAGCTAGCCTGATCTGAAAACAAAAAGAGAGACCTTAAACTGGTCAATGCAAATCAGTGCCTTGCCTCCGCCGGCCTGTGCAGGCGAGGCCCCGATCATAACAAAGCAACTCCCACAACACATGCCAGTTTTAATACAGTTTAACATTTTACATTTCCGAAGTTTATGTTGCGAGAACAGGATTCCACCCACCACCCTTGATGCATTCCCTGGGTGGGAGGAACTCCCATATAAAAAGGAAGGGGTACTCGTCGTACTTTATAGGGGTTAGAACGGCGGTTTTGGTTCCTCTCGGAGCTAGGGTTTTCAGCCTCAAAAGGTCCACAGCGGAAGCTTCAGCAGCACCTTTTAGGGTATTGAGCC